AAAAGCACATGTAATGTCTTTATACCTCATTCCTCTTTTCTTTCCTTTGTGATTTTTTTTGTCTTTCTTTCTTCTTTTTTTCTGACCTTGAACTGCATTCGCATATCCTCCTTCGCTGTTGTTCTCTCTTCTCGCCTCGCGCTCCATTTTTTCACGTCTGTATTGATGGTTTCTCCCTTGTATTCCTTTCTTTTCGCTTCTCTCTTCTCTCTGTGTGTTTCCTTTCTCTTCTTCGCTCTTTTGCTGTTTCTGTATTTACCTTTTTAAACCCTATGCCAGCTGAGTTAATACTCGATACAAAGATATCGTCGGCGATGATAAAACTCATTGTATTTTTTGTTGTTGTTGCTCAGTGCTTAAATATCTAATTTTTCTTTATATCATCATGTAGGCACTTCCGAGTGTTATATCAAATGCATAAATAAAAATAAAAGAAATTCATTTAGTCTCCCTCTTTTGAGCATATCATATGATACTCATCATCTAAAAAGACGAAAGAACGCAAAATATACTTTTTTGCGCTCTATATGTCATAGTGTAGATGACATGCGATATCAAAAAAGTTAATAAACCATTGATTAAAAAAAAAAGAAGTTTTATGAAGTATTTTGAAATGGCTTGTAGAACGAAATGCTTTTTTTTTCAGTTATATATCTTAATTTGAGAATTTTATTATCGACTCACTGCTGTTCTGAAAGCAGCAAGTAAAATAACTTGAGGGATCAATTACTCCAGTAAAGGATGTATTACATATAGAGCCAATGCAACCAAATGAAAACATTGAAATTTACCTGACCTTGATAATACGTGTCTATGATTGTATTCAGCCGTGCACACACACCACGAACTGAACACAATATTGTGAAATTATCAAGCATATCCAGGACGCGATAGATAATGTCAATTGGTAATGTTAAAAGAGACGTAGAAACTTTTTCAGCCATAAATTGTGCTCGTTCTCAAAACAGTACTTCGTTAAAATGAATCACAGTGAAAGTGTTTCTTTCTTCATGTTTTTGTGTCTATTGACAATCTTTTCTTTACATTCATCATAACTGTGTAATTACTCTTTTACACCAATGAAAACACAAAACGGTATATATGCCTACTATGTAAATCCATGTACAGCTTGTGACACTGTCAGTTGAGCTGATGTTTTTTATTATTTATCTCTCATCGTTGAGTGTATACGCATGCGAATCTATAATTAGTCTATCATTATCCAATGCGTAACACTTTCTTCGTCTCTCTGTATAACTATGTGTCATATAGTGACAATAATTCCATTGCTGCATTTCTATTTTCTTTTTGTTCTTTTTGTCTTCTTCATATGAGTTATCACATTATATAGATATACGCATCTATACATATATATGCATGCCTTTTCTGTTAAGTGTGAGTTATTCTTGTTTCGTTTTTGCTTCATCTAACTATCTTGCATTCTTTCTGCTGTTGCTCTTCGACTCAATAAACTGGTATTAACTCGACCTCTCTATTTCAAATACGTAATTGAAAGACGTGACAGAAGTGTACATTATTGAAAACAAAGCTGCAAGGTATAGAGAGGGTTAAAGACCATTAACAGTGTTATTGAAAATTGAAACGAAGTTTACAACACAGCTAACTTGTTCTCTATCAAATACATATTATTCATTAAATGAATCGCTTTTTATTTTTCTGATAGGAAGTGTTCTCTATCTAAGAAATAAATGTTTAGTCAGATACAAAATGATCTATAACGAACAAGTTACATAGACAAAAAAAGATCTCTGTTTCTCATTTATTTTTTGTTCTTTAAAAAATACGCATGGTTGTCTTGAGAACTTCATAGTAACACACTTGGGCATAACCTCAAATGCATCCAGTAACACTGAAAGTATTACGAATCAGAATTGTCAGCGTTATTTTGCCTACGTTGAAGTGCTCGTCGCAATTGAACTTTCAATAAATAAAAATATACTTCAAGGACGAATCAAATCTATGACTGCCCATGTCCTCAAAATCGACGATTTTATCGCGAATGATCGCCAGATTAATCGTGAGATTATATCGCAATATATTGTCAAAACTGGCGATTTTTTTACAGTTTTTTCAACAAAATCAACTTTCATAAAAAAAACCCAGACTTTCATGAAATTGTCGATTTTTAACGAGGAAATCGCAATTTTTGATGATTTTTCACGGAAAGTCGCGATTTACACACCATTTTGTCAAAAATCGCCGACTAATTGCTCGATTTAATCGACGATTTTTCAAAGTATCGCGATTAATCATCAAAAGTATCGCGATTTTTATGACATGGATGAATACTGACTATTATGTTGAGTTTTCTAATTTCTGTGCTACTAAAAGTCGTCAACGTCAATACAATATGTAGGATGCCGTTACATATGCTGAAGAAATTTTTCAATCAACATTTATGAAAGTTTCTTTTTTTCCGTTCCTTCAACTGGTAAACAAACAGAGAAACAAATGTATACTGCAATTAGCAATCAGACCGATGACTCAATATTAGTTACTGATGTCAGTACTCTAATTATTTACCTATCAAAGCTTGACGAACATGGAATTTTCTTTGAATAATATTTCATAATTGAAAAATTTTTAACATTGATACAATGCGACTTCGAATATAGAAAGAGTTCCTCTCTTATGAAAATGAACTTGATTGATTTCATTACAGTATGATCTACGTCCTCGATTTACTCACTAATTTAACCACTGATCCTTATAGATAAGCAGTGGTTGATGGGTGTGGGTGGGTGTGGGTGTGGATGAGGGTGTGGGTGGGTGTGGGCGTGGGTGTGGGTGGGTGTGGGTGTGGATGAGGGTGTGGGTGGGTGTGGATGAGGGTGTGGGTGGGTGTGGGCGTGGGTGTGGGCGTGGGTGTGGGTGGGTGTGGGTGTGACTCCAAGTGTTCTTTGCATGTCACACCCACACTCACATCCCACAGCCACAGCCACACCACCCACACCCCACCCACATCCACACCCCACCCACACCCACACCCACACTCACACATACACCCACACCCTCAACGTTTCATAGATATACACGATACATCACTTTCAACTTCCACAATTTACGAAGAACTTATAGACCAATTCTCAGTGATTCACCCTAGTTTGATCGAAAGTAAAAATATCGAAAGGTAAAAATGTCGAAAATAAAAATATCGAAAACAAAAACAATAGAAATGTCGAAAGGTACAGATGTTGTAAATGATAGTGTATGGGAGAAGAAGTTCTTTCACCCTCATTCTAACTCTCACATCCACATTAAGATCGCACATTTTCGTTTTCGACATTTTTATTTTCGACATTTTTATCTTTCGATATTTTTACCTTTCGACCAAAGTAGGGTTAACCTTCTCAGTATCTATCTATGAAACAGCAGCTGGATTTCTTTGTTGTAATGATGATCTTCGTAAAGTACCATTGAATGATCGTTCCGTAATGCTTCTTAGTACTAGTAATAATGCAAGCTGCATAAGTGGTGCATTCGTTATTGAACATTGGGGTTTATGCGATATCAATGCTTTTATGAAAGTTATGAAGGCACAGTAGGGAACACGTGCAATGGATTTTCATCTTTGGGCAAATAAATTTATAGATTCAGATGTTGTATTAATCAAACTATCAATATCATTGTTGTTATTATACAGATATCTCAGAAGATTTAATAAATCCTATTAATATTTTAGGGATTCAAAATAAGTATGCAGCATTAACACGGAAATATCTTCTCTATAGATATAACCATTATGATGCTATCAAACGATTTCTTAATTTAACTCTTTGGCTTCTTTCTATGGGTATGTTAGCGTCTTATGCTCAAAATGTGTTGTTACATGTTAATGATGTTGATTCACTTTTTGAACAAGTTGAAATGACACTTATATTAGATGATGTCGAAAACGTACCTGAAATAAATCAGTGGCAGTCATCGTTTTTGTTTTTCAAATGTTTAATTGTGGGACATTGTATTTGTCAGTCATGTTTAAAATTACTGCAAAAAATAAAAAGAAAATATGTAAAAACTATTTAAAAATAATAAATATATAACAGTATATCGGTTTAAAATAAAACTGTTCAGATTATATTACTGATCATTATCGAAAAATTTTTGAACTAAATTCATTCGCATGAATTGTATTTATTGACTTAACACTTAACATGGTTTGATCATTTTTGAAAATAAAAACATTAGACATGGAAAGATTTTTGTTCATACTCGGAACAGCGAAAAAAATATGAGTCTTCGTTGTTTTTTGCTATACAAATAATTTTCTGTTGTTTCATTGAAATTAATAGAAGGATGTTGAACATCTATGAAGAAAAATAAATTATCAAGTTTTTTTTTAAGATACTAAAACTAATAGAATTTAGTGCTAAGAAAAATTATAAACCAGAAACTTACGAAAGCTTATAACCGTGCTAACTTGTTTTCCTTTAAGTCAAAATTAATTGCTATGCAATAAAATATTATTGTAAGTAGAGTTGGATGTGAAGGTAGGCCAAGACAATATATGTCAATTCTGATAGGACCACCTAAACCCTCATATTCATTCACCTACACTCGCACCTTCTAATCAGAAATTATGAAGATATATTGGCCGCGATAGACGACCCAAGATCTTGTAATAGCGTGAAAGGTTTATTGAAGTAATTCCAACTTAGGAAACTTTTTTCAACGATTCAAATAGAATCACAATTGGAATCGAATCTTGAAAATCCTGTATGGAGCTCTAGTCGTTAGAAATAATAGTCTCGAAAATCGAATCAACTTGTAACAAGTCATGATCACTACAAACGAAAGTAGAAAATAGCAATAGTCAATACAGAATGTAAAGCTAATTATTTTTTCATTTATAAATAGATTGATAGTAGCGCTTCATACTGAATTGGTCATTCTAACAACAACATAAAACAAAGAACAAAGACATATCGATCAGTTAAATAAAATAGCAAAATCTTTATTATATTTAAATAAATAAAGTAATGGCATTAACAATGAGAATGGGAGAACCAACTCCACGACGGTAAAAATGTATTGTTTGCTTCTGTCTTTATATAAGGTTTTTCTCTTTCGTATAAGTTAGATCTTTAGCTGCACCACGACGTACAACAAAACTTTTTACATTTGATGATAATAATGAAAAAGAAAATTCTCTTAATGAAAGTCTTACAGGACGACGACAATCACGTTTATTTAATAATTCAATTAATACTGAAAATATTAATGATGAACCAATTCAAACACCAACACAATTAGTTGATTTATATCAAAAAACACTTGAATTAGCAGCACAAGGAAAAATTAATATTAAAAATGCATTTAGTATTCCACTTGTTGAACGTTTACCACAAGTTTTAAATGTTATTGCACTTGATGATAAAGATAATCATCATTTAGGACCAAATTTTGTTAAAGCTGGTTCAGTTATTGATACTAGGTTTGGTATATTGTGTTCTAATCGAAATAGAATTTTTCGGTTGATTTTCTTTATTACAAAGTTGAAAATAAGAAAATAAGTCTTTTTTATCATGCCTTGTATTTACCTATGCATCATCTACTATTCAGAATAAGTGCTTTAGAATTTTGAGTCGATGTTGTACTGATTGGCAAATAGTTAAGCATAGTATAGTTTCGAGAATTTGGTTGAATGCCCATATTGAAATAAGTTTAGAACTGTGCCATGTTGACAGAAGGTGTATTATCCCTTGTATAGATAGTATCTACTCTGAACAGAATGCATTATAAATAGCACTAGGATGATAACATGAAATATCTCCATGTTGATTCAATCAAATAAGCTGATGTTTTTTCGATTATTGATAGAAGCTTTTTTCATAGAGTTTTTCATTTATACGAATAAACTAAAAAAAATACTACAATTAAGTTTTATTGTTGGTATCATAAAAGCAATTTCTAACTGTTATCAAGTACGAAAAAAATACATGTGCAGCATTTCATAGATAATTTTCAATGATCATCTAAGAGAATAAAAACGAATTATATAGATGCTCATCAAGCTAATTTTCAGAACTAGTTATTTTAAAAGTCAACGGTTATCACTTATTCAGTCTATGACATCTACAAACTAATGAACAATAAATTAAACTTTCGGGCGTAAAAATCACTAAATTTTTATCATTTATTCAAAATTTTTCTCATGGTTTTTTGTAGTGCTAAAATCTATGGTTTTCGTGTTGATGCATTATATACAGAAACACAAAAATTAAGTGGAAATATTCTAAATACAGAAGAAGAAGAAGAAGAACAACAACAACAACATTCAAATGATGGAGAAAATAGAGAAGAAAATCGACTAGAAGTTGATAATGAAAATATTGATTCTGAACAAAATGAATCAAAAAAACCAACACGTCGTATTAAACCAAAAGCAACATCATTTGTTGTTAATGATCTATCAAAAATAACACTTGAACATGAATTTGAATTTCGTCCATTACAACCACCAAATATCTGTCAATGGCGTGGTGGAATTGGAAAAGATTCAATATATGCTGAAATGGTTTCAAGTACAATGTATTCATCAAGTGATTATCCATTAATTGATGGTTTTACAAATGCAAATAGTCAACCAGAACAACAACAAATTAAAATTGAAAATATTCTTAATCATACAATAGCAAAAATAATTGATTTAACATCATTACGTGATGTTATTAAAAATAATGAAACATATGATCATATTCTTGGTTAAGAACATATATATATATATGTATATAAATATTGTTTTTTTAATTTTTGTTGTTCTTCTTTGTTTAGGTAATCAAGCATTACGTGATTTTTCATTTAATGAAATTCCAAGTGATTCATTTATAAATACAATTCATGAAAGTTGTCTTGGACAAAATGATGAAAGTATTGATAATAGATCTTATACAAATAATGATGAAAATGATAATGATGATGGTTATAATCATGATGAATTAATTCATGCTGCTATTGAAGATTTTAATGATGATCCATCACATACAAATGAAATTTTTAAAAATGCATTAAATGAATTAAGTAATCAAGATCCATCAAGTATGCATTCAAATTTAGGAAATTATCAATCACAACATTCAGCAAATGTAAGTTAATAATAAATAGAAGAAAAAATTATTTATTAGTAAGCATTTTACATCATTCATATAAAAATTAAAATCGATGAGTAGAAGCCAGTTAATCAACATTATAATAGATCTAAACACAAGAAGAAGAAAAAGAAAAATAGTCCTATTTTTTTTGGCTGAATCTGCCATTAACAATGAAAAATTTCCCCTTTCTATTAAAATAAAGAGAAATTCATATTTACTTTTTCACCTATACATTCAAAATACATTGTATAGTTAAATAACGACAAATAGTTTTCTATTATTTTCTCAAGTTGTGTTGTTGCACACCGATAGATTCTGTATTTCTGGAATGTTAAATCTTCGTCTGATTACACAATCATTGCAGAGAATCATTACATGACTATGGTCTGACTTTTTATATTCATCAAACATATCATTTTCTTATACGATTAATATTTTAACGACTCATTGAAAAAATTTTATTTTAGTTAAATCTTCCATCCGCTAATGAAATTTTATCATCATCATTTATGAGTACAGTATCATTTGCAGATCAAATGCCAAATTTATTACATTCAAAAGATGTTCAATCTGAATATTCATATTTTGATGCAACTAAACTTAAACTTTTTGCTGGACCTAATATATGGAAATATACAAATTTACTTAATATAACTAAAATAATATCAACTAATAATAGTTCAATTATTCAACAACAACAAGCACCAGCAATACGTCAAAGAATAAATAATGAAGGAGGAAATATTTATATAATTGGTCCAAAACGTAGTATTCGTGTTGATTTTTTTCATCAATTATCTATTGATCAAATAATGTCAAATATTAATAATGGACGTGATAAAAAAACTATTGGTATATCTCAAAGTGCACTTTTATTACGTATAAGAGAAAAAAGTTTTAATCAAACGCAATTAGCTAGAAAATTACGTCCATTAAATGATTTAATTAATTCACCTAATTTTCCAGAATTAAATTTTGAATATTTACATTTAATTAATCGATATAAAGAAAAAAAACAAGAACAAATTCATGAAAATCATGATTATGATGATTTTGATGATAATAATTTTCATGTTACTATTGAACATCATGATGATGAAGGTAAGATTAATATTCATATGTTTAAATTATGAATGTGATTTGAATCTATACGAAATTTGTTGAAATTCTTCAGTTCATTTTTTTTGCTTTACTAGTTGCATAGATGTAGGAAATTCAAATGAAATTAGGTCAGTTGAGACTGACCTAATTTCTTAAAGGTAGCCTGTTAGGGAAGTACACTTTATACTATATCCTATTCAGCTCATCAAATTTTGTATAGTTTTTGTTCCTTACTCAATATATGAAAAGAAAGATCGTTACTACGTAAAAGTAAAAAATCTTGTCTATTTTACTACTGCGAATTTACCATTGACTCTAAAAAAAACAAGTTTCTTGATAACTTCGACTATTTCTATGTTAATGAATTCGCAAAAAATACAAAAAGAGAATTCATTAGTGATAAATCGTTAAGTAATTCTCTGACGAATGTATCGACACTATGATAAACGCAAACAAAACTTTAGATTGTATTTACCTTCAGAATATACCTATTATATTCTAAGAGTAGATTACACAATGGATCGAGACAGACTAACCTCAAGTCAGAGTTGTTCGATATAGGCTCTGTAAAAGTCTAACATCGAAGAGTCTAATACAGATCTCGAAAATATTTTTAAAAATTACGAATAGAACACTTCTTTGCTTCAGTATGTTTTCTGTTGAGAATATTTTTTTTTTATTTGCTAGATGCTCCATTAACAGCAATGCAATATGATTTTATTCGTCCTGTACATTATGAAAAAATTGAATTTGCTAAAGGTTCAACATCAGTCAATGCTAAAAATTTAAAACGTCAAATGATTGAAGAATTTACACGACAAAAATTAGAACAACAACGTACATTATCACTTGATACAAGTACAACAAGTCAACAATCATCATCATCATCATCACATAATAATAATCATTATCAACAACCAATTGTTGAATTTTCAATATTATGTGAAAATTTATCTGATCATGGTCATTTATCATTACAAACAGATTTAGCATCAGCATTTTATTGTATGTTAATTAATTGTAATGAAAATAAATTATATATGAAAAGTAATTCAAAACGTGATGATTTATATATACAAGAATGTCCATTTACAGATCGACGTGATCTTTCAACACTTTCTTATTCATATACAAGTAGTTCAAATCTATCAACAACTTCACTTATTGTTCATTGAAACAAATTCTTTTTTTTTTGTGTATGTACTTATGTACTTATTATTATTATTATTATTATTATTTTCTTTTTTTTTGGTGACTTTAATAATAAAAGTGTATTTTATTTAAAAAAAAAAGAAGGAGCGAGAAGAGTTTCTGTACAAAGAGAAAGAGAGAGCAACACAGCACACAAATATTTTTAAAGATATTTTATAATTATTAATAAAGTAAATAAGATGAATACAGTGGATTGATAAGGAACAATTATGTTTGCATGATTAAACATATTATTGATTGTTTGACCGTAAGATAATAATGAACGACCAATTAAATAAACAGCAAAACTTGGAGGATATATATTGAATGATTGAACCATAGCATTAACAGATTGATCACTACAACATGTTACCATAAAATCTTGAGATAAAAAGAAAAAAAGAAAGATATGTTTTGTTTTTTGACATAAACTAAATCAAAATTCAATGGACTTACTTTGATAATTCATAGCTTCATTACCACCTAGCAAAAAAAGAAGACATAGAAATTAATACTTAAGTTTCATTTATAAATAGATTTATGATCTCTAGATCTGACGAGAAAAATTCTCTAATCGATTAATCACTTTTGAATCGAAACTATGTACACTATGTAAATTCAAATGTACAGATCAAAAGAGTCCGTGCCCTTAATTTATTATTAAGGAAATATTACACTTTTTACAATAATTTTTAAATGAATGCCGTAGCTCACAAATATTCATTTTCGAATTCCGACTTGAAGCTTTGCTTCTCTCCTGAAATAGGAACATCAAGTATAACGGTTTATATGAACGATGTAAAAGTAACACTATTGAGAAAATTTCATAAGAAAAATTTTCACGAAGCGAAACAATCCTTTCTCGAGAAGTTTCCGTTGTTATTTAGTATTTTTACTAAAGCTAATTCTCGGAAAACTCGCACTGTGATTATTCTTTGTATGCTAAATTCTTTCAATGATAATTTCATACAAAAAAGTTTGTTTTACATTTTTCTCAAAATCAATTATAGGATAATCATTGAATATTATGCAAATACTTGTAGACATAAACTTTTATCTAATCCATTTTTTAAAAAAGCTTGTGAAATAATCATCATTAGTGATGAACAAACCGGTTTTATTTATTGGAGTTTTTCCTATTATAAATTCATACTTCTTAATAAATTCTTCAATATATTTTATATATACCTGCTAATTGATTACCAGGTAATGGTTGAACTGTAATACGTTCACCTGTCATAGCCGTACATGATTGTGGTCCAGCTGCATAAGTTGAACCACTATAAAATCCACCTGTACCTGTATAATAACTTGGATCAATACCAGATGATCCCGTCATTGGTACAACATTTAATTGTGGATTATAAAAAGCACCAAATGTACTATTCCAAGTAGCATCAGACATTGGTTTTCCAATAGGAACACCAAAATTGTCATAATGAAAACCATTAGCACCCGTATTACTTCCATTACTAAATGGATAATATTCAGAATTTGGATTAGCATAACCAGTCATAACATATGATGGATTATATAATTGATTATAAGAACCAAATGGTGATGGAGCAGCTGGATATCCACCAAAAACTTGTTCTTGTGGTTGAAAGTAACCTGGACCAAGATCGGGTGCTTTCACAGGTGGTCCACCTATTGTCATCGTTCCATTTCTCCATACATCAGCCCAATCTTGTCGTTTTCGACGAGTTCGTCGTTGTTGTTGTTGTTGTTGCTGTTGTCGCTGTTGTTGTTGAGCTCGTGGCATTTGACTACGACTATAATAACCTCCTGAACGACGTAATATATTAGCCATAGGATCCAAAAGAACATCAGCACATACATGACGAAGAACAAACTAAAAATGTAAGATAAATAAAAGTTTTACAATTTAAAATTGTAGTTTTTTTAAATTACTTGTCTTATTTGATTTGTATTTGTTGATACACCAATTGATTGTAGAGCAGTATTTGTTGGGATAAATAGTGTATAAGGACGTCCTGATTGTTTTAATTGATCAATAACACCTGTTTGTTGAAGTAATTGAGTAAATGAACTAAATTTAATGAATACAATTTATATGAAACATAAAATAAATTAGATAATTTTTTACCTAGCTCCTTGCATTGTTGAAAGAACTGTATCTAATGGAATAGCTGTACCAGATAGAATACCTTCAATGAAAAGTGTTTAATTTTCCAAGAAAAAATTTTAAAGAATTGTATACCTCGAATAACATGCATAACACCATTTTTAATTGGTATATTCGATTCAGTATTAAGAACCGTAGCTGCGAATGGTAATGAATTTTCTGGTCGACCAATCAGTGTTACCACTTAAATATTAAATACAATTTACTGTAAAATTCGGAAATTTATAAACCAAAGCAGAGCAAAGTATCTTTAGAATATAAAATCTAATATCCCGATCAAATGCTTCCTTGCTGATAACAAAGAAGCGATCGAAAGCTTCTAATGTCTGTTTCAAGAAAAAAAAAGATGAGTGAGTCTTTTTTTTTCAATAACTTTTGATAGAAACAAAGTAGAGAACTGCGAGTTTTACGTTGAAAAAGATGCATTGTATTGATTATTATAAGTTTTCGATCGACCTTTTTGAAAAGTAACGTACTTTGTGAAGTGATTATAATGAGCTTTTAATTACTCGATGTGCATTCGAACTGCCGATAAAAGATTTATAATACTATACAAATCGTGGTTTTTCACATTGAATCGTTGAGAAGCTGTAAGTATTCTATTCAACACTTTCAACCAATTGTTGTGAAAAAAATCGCATGTTTATCTTAGGAAGAACTAAAATATATAATTTAATTCTACTTCATTTTTTGCTGTATGATGTTTCTATCAAAAGTTACTTTAAAACTATCCATCTACCACTTTTTTTAATGAGCATTAGAAATTCAAAACACTTTCGAAAATTTTCTATTCATGTCAGAAATATCGAACTATACATTGTCGGCTTGCTATCACATATAAGTGAACGATGTGAATAAATACAAAAGAATTAGAAATTTCAATGTTTCAGCATAAGTCTTCAATTACGAAGGATAGTCTAATGAATATCTGCGAACAATTAAAATGTTAAAATTCACTTTTAATTGAAACATATCATTTTATTCCAATATGGTTTTTAGCCTATTCTGAAAAATAAATTAGTAAAAGAACATCTCAGATTTCTTGGGACAGGATTATTTCATTAACTCCTTTCCTACCTGTAAATACTCAATAAAAAAAAAGCAATGAGCAAATTATCATGTTTCTCAAGCACTGTCGTTATTGGGAAAAGTTAAATTTGGCAGAGAGCTTTTAGGTAACTACTTAAAATTTTCGCAGAAATAACGCAAACAGGAGGAAGGCTTTGACATTTGTAAAGTCTCTCTCATCTAGAGCCATGCAACTTATAAATCTTATATGTACCATTTCCATTCGGTCCAGAAGAAATTTGTGCTTGAATAGAAAATTGTGGATCCATAGTAGGATAAATTTGTCCATCTTGAAAAATAGCTGAAGTTGGATATATTGGCATTGGATTAAAACTAGGATTAAGATTTGGATCAAATTGTTGTTGATTCGGTAAAAATTGTTGAGTGGGCATCATTTGTTGTTGCTGTGTTGGTAGCAACGGTTGATTAGGTAACATTTGCTGTTGCTGTGTTGGTAGCAACGGTTGATTAGGTAGCATTTGCTGTTGTTGTGTTGGAAAAAATGGTTGAGAAGGCAACATTTGTTGTTCTGGATTTGGTAAAAATGGCTGATTGGGAAACATTTGCGGGTCAGGTAACATTTGTTGTTTGGATGATACTTGTTGTTGTTGTTGTTGTTGTTTTTGCGTTGGTAGCAATTGTTGAGTAGGTGACATTTGTTGTTGTTGAGAAGGTAACATTTGTTGTTGTTGCCTAGGTAAATTTTGTTGTTGTTGTTGCATAGGATAACTCTGTTGTTGTTGAGAAGGTAATATTTGTTGTTGCTGAGAAGGTAACATTTGTTGTTGCTGAGAAGGTAACATTTGTTGTTGTTGAGAAGGCAATATTTGTTGTTGTTGAGAAGGTAACATTTGTTGTTGTTGCCTAGGTAAATTTTGTTGTTGTTGTTGCATAGGATAACTTTGTTGTTGTTGAGAAGGTAACATTTGTTGTTGTCTAGGTAAATTTTGTTGTTGTTGTTGCATAGGATAACCTTGCTGTTGTTGAGTAGGTAACATTTGTTGTTGTTGAATAGGTAGATTTGGTTGTTGTTGTTGTTGTCCAGGAAATGTTTGTTGTTGTTGAATAGGTAAGTTTTGTTGCTGCTGTTGCCTAGAAAAAGTTGGTTGCTGTTGTTGTTGTTGAATAGGTAAATTTTGTTGTTGTTGTTGAATAGGATAAATTTGTTGTTGTTGAGCAGGTACCATTTGTTGTTGAATAGGTAGGTTTTGTTGTTGTTGCATAGGAAAAATTTGTTGTTGTGTAGGTGACATAGATTGAGAAGGTCGAATTTGTTGTTGTTGTTGAAAATTTATATTTGTTGGCATATTTACTTGTCGACGTCGACGGCGATGACGTTGTGGTAATTTTTTGTTTGAACTAGAAGAAGGAGAGCGTTGAAATTGTGGTGGTAGAAATCCTGGTTGAATAAATGGTTGTTGTTGTTGAACAAATGGATTTGACATAGTCGTTAATTGATCGGTATAAACAGGAAAACGTATAATATGTCGACGTAAATTCTAAATAAATCAAAACAAAAAATCTTCTTTTTATAGTATTTTTTTTTTCTTTTTAATTTACTAACCATACTAAGATCTTGAGAATTTCCCAATTGTTTTACAGCTATTTGTTGTGGTATAAGTACAGTTATTGTAAGTAAATTTTGCGGATTAAGCATATTTGGACCTGTATTACCTAGGCCAGCTGTATTACCTTGTAATAAATTAACTAATTCTGTATCGCCAGATTGTTGAATAAGAGCCATAAAATATCTAGAAATAATTTAAATAG